GGGATTTGGGGATTTGGGGATTTGGGGATTTTGGGATTTGGGAATTTAAGGACTGAGAAATTTAGGGACTTGGAGAATTTGGGGTTTGGGAATTTAAGGATTAAGAAATTTGGAGATTTGAGGATTTGGAGATTTGAGGATTTGGAGATTTGAGGATTTGGAGATTTGGAGATTTGAAGATTTGAAGATTTGAGGATTTGGAGATTCGGAGATCTGGTAATTTAAGAATTTGAGAAATAATCTGACGGGTGGTAATCTAACGTGTAATTATGTAACGGTCCATAACCCAACATGCAATAATCTATCGAGTTACAATCTAACATATACCAATCTAATTGTGATCTAACAAGCCTTAAACAACCGTGGATTACAACCAATCCACACTAATCTAACAGATCATGAACGTGAAATAATCCAACGTATCCTTATCTAACGCGCATTAATCCAACGTGTCATAATCTAACATACACTAATCTGACAAATACCCTAACAAACGCTAATTTAACGAATCTAACAATAAATTTATATTGATCTAACCACTTTTAAACCAAAGTGCACTAATCTATCGTGCAATAATTTAGCATGCGGTAATAGCTCGAGCAGATCAGGCAGCAAACTTTCGAAATTAAAAATTGTTCGCCGACCAGAAGCTATTTTCGCTGGTAAATTCATTACCCGGCTGCGAAAATACTTAACAGAAGGGGTTTTTTTTACAGCATGAACTGCTAACGTTAAGATAAACTTTTTGTTTACGGCGCCTTTGAAATAATTGTATCGAAACTTTTTAACGGTCTGTAAACGACCAGATCCACCGGCCGTTGTAACGTATTGTTTCCGACTTTTCCGGGCATTTCCCGGGGGAATTTTCCGGGAATTAAGAATCACGTTTGTTGATTGAAACGGGCTATTTGATAGCTCGATTTTACGCTCGCTGATTTTTGAACGTTTTTCGTTAGTTATCCGACTCTTCTAACGTTACTCGATTTTTCAAGATTTATGCAACAATCGCACGTTAACGACGTACACGGAATTGTTTATTTTCACTGCGTTATTTTAACTACCGTTTATACCGCGATCGTTAAACACATTTTCGAGGAAATGTTTATAAACAATTTCAATTCTTCACATTGTACCTTTTGTTCGCGAGCCACAATGGAAATGTAAAAATTACAGCAACGGGCAAAAACAGGAACAAACTGAATCACCCGGGTTTTATACGACAATACTTTATCGTAGGAATGAAAATTATTACAGTTTGATCGCATCAGAAATAAAAACTCTTGCATATCACGAAATGTACGTGCGTCACATCAGAGAATTATAACAATTTTAACGCGGTTGTATCCTTTTATGGAGATGCAACCACAACAGCTTTAAACGTGTAATCGCTGGATGCCTTGATTAAAACGATTTTAACTGCAATTCCATTTTTTTTCTCTTTCCACCGCCGCAGAATTTTCGCATTATCCTCTGCAAAATTTATTATTCATTCCTCTAAATAACGAATTCCACAAATTAATTTCCCCGTGTTTTTCAATAGCAATATATTTTCAATGAGCTTTCGGGCGGCAATAGACAGATGAAAATAAGCTGATGTTTGTGAATTTTTTTTTATAGCGGCGATAATTAACGCGCTGGATCGTTGGATTACTATGCGTTGGATGTTCACACGCTGAGTAACTACACATTGCATTACTACGTGTTGGATTACTACGCGTTGAATATCCACGCGCTGAATTACTACGCGTTGGATATTTACACGCTGCGTAACTACGCGTTGGATTACTACGCG